GTGCCGTAAACGTCCAGAAACTCAAGTTTCGGTAAATTGTGGCCAATATTGCCGTAAAACGAGTCCTTAATCTCCAAACACTTGAAATACTTAAACGAGTGAAGCGTTAAATGTGTTAAACATTTGCATTCATTCAACAAATCGCTCGTCAATTGAAACTCTTTGGGAAAATAACCCCTAATTTCCAAACGCTTTAACCGTTTATTAAAGCATTTATTAATTGTTTCCAATATTAGGGCAAAAGTTTGCGACGATTTGAGCGCAAAACATACGGACAGTCTCTTGAGTCGCGGGCAATGAGTGGCCAATTGTCTCATGTGATCGGCTATTAGTGGACACAACGAGAGATCCATATAATCGGATATCATGTCCGACGGCTTCGCGTAGATGTAGTTAATCTTGAGATCAATTAAAGCCCGCATTCGGCACAAGCCGTCCATCAGTAGCCGAACCGAGTGTTGACCGCAATCGCCATAAATGGTGGCACAGATTGTGGTCAAGCGGTGGCCATAGAGTTGACAGACGGCCACAAAGTGATGGCTTTCATCGGCCGTATAATTGAACGACAATTTAGACAATTTGGGAAACATTAGTGTATTGTCCGCACCGTTAGTGTCGACCAACAGATGCCACGAGTCGTCCAGACATCGGGAGTGCATGAACTGGACGTACGATAGATTGCGGCACCGCTTAAGACTCGCGGCCAGCGATTCCCGAAGCGATCGGTTCTGACGCCAATGCGTGACACGAAATGTCCTCAAAGTGGCGGCAAATGTGCCGAAGAACTCGTCCATCAGGTCTTCGCCGATAGTCTGATCCCATTTGACGGCAATTTCCCGCAAATGACGGCAATGTCTGGCAATTAAGGCAATGATTACGCGATTAAACGGATAGTCATTCGCCGTGTAATCAATTGTTGCGATATTTTGACACTTTTTGAGTATTAATTCAATGCAATTGTCGTCTAAATCGGTGCCAAACTCTTTGCCTACAATCAGATCCAGTTGTGTCTCGTATACCACTCTTTGCCACTGTTTGCACACCTCTTCGTATCGGAACCGCTCGCAGAGTGACAGATATGACAACAGCTGTCGACACAAGTCATCGCCGAATCGGTCCATAGAGTTCTTCGGGTAAACTGCGGACCCATTCATCACCGAAACGGTTCCCGAAGACATCACTCGCGAGTGTTGACCACTATTTACAGTACAATTACGGCCATAAATTGCGGTCACTTTTAAACACAGGTTTAAGTCATTTGTAATATTAATTCGCATTCAAAACACGTGTTAATCAGTGCTTAAAAGTTAACGCAGAAAACAATGTAATTATATGTAAATTATTATAAATATAATTAAATAATTATCTAATTTTTTTCATTCATTGTTTACATAACAATATAACTATTAATTGTTTGAAAACAGTGTTAACTGTTTGTACAGTAAATATAACAATTTGAGTGTCAGTTAACTCACTCTCTCTTATTAGCTATAAAATGCATTGTTTTGCAATATTTTGCACATAAATAACGTTTAAATGTTCACAAAATAGACACAAAATAATAGCATTAATTAATGTAATTTCTACATAAGTTATATTCAGCACTTAATTGACAACACTTTTAACAATAATTATATCATTACAAATATCTGCAATAATTGTAAATGTAATTTAAGACAATAAATTTTGTTTGAAATAATTATTAGTTTGAGATCACATCATAAACAACATATCGCCGCTAACTGTGCCCTTACTTCCCGACGACTGGTGTTTATTACCTATTAATTAACAATTAATTGTAAAACAATTGCAATCATGACTCATAATCACTGATTACACAATAAATAATCAGCAATTTTATGTATTTTGTTATTAACTTACGGTAATAATAATAATGAGTCCAAACGATAGTTAAAACCACTTTATTCTACAGTTTATGTTTAAAAATATAATGTTTGGCAGCACTACTTCAACAATATAATATACTATTAAAAATGATTTTTAAAAACCATATGGTAGATTAATAATTATCATTCATTTTAAGTCTGTATATGAATGTGTAAACCTACCATATTATAATGTCTCTTAAATTATCACCACAATCTCCAGGTAAATAATTATTATAATAATAGTTATATAAATTACTTCTGTCATTGAAAACATTACTAATATGTGAATCTAAGTAGATGATGGTCAAAATATAGCGCTAAACATGTGCGATAGGCAACTTCGGCAATACGCGCACCGGTTTCAAGTGCCCCGAATAACAACGCGTTTGCCATTTAAACGCAACCCAATTGACGTGAGCGCTGAGCACCTGCTGTACTCGTGGGCCAATTGGGTGTATCCGTACAGTTCGGTGTCGCGCAACCGGTTCGACGCGTTCGCAAGTCTCGGCCAATTCTCCGCATTTGTCTATCCCTTCGGCCGTCAAGATCTGCCCGATAGGTAAATGAGTGCTGGTTCTCACCTATGAGTCATTCATTTTAAATATTGTATTTACATTAAGTGCCCAAATATTGTTATATGTGGAGCGATACTACTGTATACGACTTTGATAGGAATATGAATTTTTTAATTTTCTTAACTATACACTTTTTCGAAATTATTTTAGATTATAAATATCATAATTATATGTCTCAATAATTAAAAGTGTGTAATTAAAAAACAAAAATTTCATATTTCTATAAGATTATTTATAATATCTCACTGAACTTTTAATTTCTAATTAATTTTAAGTTTATTATAAAACTAATTTTCAGAATTATAAATATTTTTATAAACAATTAAATAAATTTTCCTTATAACATAAGATTAGCATTATTAAAATGAAATAACATTACTCCATAAACTTAACATTACCAAACATGGAATAACATTATCCTAACTAGCAAATATAAAAATGGATAAATTCCATAGACTTAACATAGGAATAACTACGCTTTCGTTTATATTTTGATTTACCATAGGAAATTTTTTTCATGTTTAAACTATGTCACAAAATTACCATTAGCATTTAGTTGCAGGAAAGGTGCAGCTTTCTGTTAGTCTTACTTACCATAATTACTGTATTTATTATTATTTATATACATGTAGATTTATGATATTTATTAAAAATTAGGTTTGCAAACACAGCAAAAATAATTATCACCATGTTCATTTTGGATGATCACTACGAAGAAAGCTGGGGTGACGGCCGGGGCCGGCGCCTAGATTTGTGCAAATCATTTTGGGGCGAATGGGAATCAATGATAGACAAACTAGAGGATCCGGTGGCGGCCCCGGTACCCATCACACACTGGGCGCCCTATTTGGTGGGCACTTACGCTACTTTAGACGCCGTCGCCATTGATTTAGATGCGGTTCAAAGACGCAGATTTGTTGCCTTATGGCGGCCGTACGGCGCGGTCAATGTGGCCGAAACTATGCTCATCAAGACTAGGCTACACGAGCTGACCAGTGTAAAGCAAATATTTGATGTACGTACTTATTATCAAATATATTAATAAGGCTAACAAAATGATGCACATTTGTTTGCATGAATAATGTAGTTTATCTTAGTCGGGAAAGCCAATATGTGGCATAGCGTTTTTAAAATTAGCTTGCCATGGTTAGATCCAGTATGGCTGTCTGATAGATATTCAAGTGTCAAATTAGGCCAATGGCTAGAAACGGGAGTTATGGCCACTTTTGTAAAAATTTACATACCGTGTTTAGCATAGAGAAATGGTTTTTTCAAATGCATGACTGATCACTTATTAGTAATCAGTGATTACTAATCACCAAAATATATTGCTATACACGGTATGTAAATTTTTACAAAAGTGGCCATAACTTTCCTGTTTCTAGCCATTGGTCTAATTTGACACTTGAATATCTATCAGACAGCCATACTGGATCTAACCATGGCAAGCTAATTTTAAAAACGCTATGCCACATATTGGCTTTCCCTACTTAGCTTATTATTTTGCATGCCATAAATTATAGCCTTTTATAGTAAATTAGTTAATTCATATTGCTAAGAAAAATTTTGACTTACAAATTGCCTAAACGTTTCTAATTGGTATGGATATGTTCAGTATGGCTCATAAATGTATATTCCATCCACATAATCTGTCAACGGCCAGAAATGACCGAATTATGGACAAAATTAGAAATAAATATATAGCATTTAACAAATATAAAGCTACTTGTGGTGAAATGCACTGTGTTCTGTGTGAATCATCATTAAAGCTGTTCAGAATATATTTTTAAACAATGTGGCGGTCAATTAATTCCAGGGATGCGGTTTTCATTATTACTCTTAAACTAAAATTGTATATCACGTGACCAAAATAAATTGACCAGCTCTGAAAAAGTTTGTCCGTATAATTCTTTATTGAATGTTGTTTACAGAATCAAATTAGCTCTTTTAGTTTAAGAGATATAATGGAAACCGCATCCCTGGAATTAATTGACCGCCACCTTGTTTAAAAACATATTCTGAACAGCTTTAATCATCATTCATAACAACTTTTCAATGTTGCAACGTTCTATCAATTCAATTGAACTATATGATTTGGAATTTTAAATGCAAGAATTATTAATTATAAATAATGTTAGACACTTCCTCTGCGGTAGAATATATTCCGGGAATATATTATTGGTAGGAAATATATTTAATCTTCCTGAAAACAGGGGAAATATGACAAAATTTTACGATCAAGTTGTAATGATAAACTGTAAACATGGTATTCATTTGACATAAAGTGCAATTTTATTGTTCACGCAGATTCGAATGCATACGATCGGTACGCAACAATTGATGATGCTCAGCGAGTACGTGGAAGGAGTGGGCTGCACCGACAGGCCGGGTATGACCAAAGCCGAGTGGGCGTCACCCCTATGGCAGCGCTATCTGCGCGAGTGTTGCGAACACATGATATGCGTGAACGACATGTTCTCGTTCGAAAAGGAGTACCGCCAGGAGTGCGGCAATTTGGCCAACATGTTCAATGTGGTGGCGCTCACCACACGACTGGCGCCGGGCTCTACCGTATCCGACGGTATGCGACAAATTGTAGCCCGTATTGAGGCCTATGAATGCGCTATCGTCGACATATACAGGGATATTGTGACCGGTGATAAGGATAGTAGAAATGGTGAGCCCAGTAGCCGTGCGATGCGCCGAATGGCTGACCGAATGTTGTATTTTGTCGGCGGTAACTATAAGTTTCACACCGTATGCGACAGATATCGACGATTTTCGGCGATCAGCGAATGTTAAACATAGAACGAAAGGACAATTTGCCCACGATTTGCACGTTTTAGAATATCAAACATATTCTGTTACTTATAAATTATAAGTTATACTTTGACAAAATAGGCTTTATAATTATATAAAATGTTACCAAATGTCAGTTGCACTCTTTAATACATTAAATATAACTGTTTTTAAGTTTTGATTGCTAAATTGTTGCAATATTTTATAATAACTTTTACATTTATCATAGTTTACCCTATTTAATTTTATTCTAACTAACAGATGTAGATTAAGTTGTGATTTTTTTGTGTTTTATATAAAATATACCAAAAATTTGAAAAATGTATAAAATAGTTACTTATTAGGTAATAAACGTTCAAATAGTTACGAACGCCTCAAATAGTTAAATATAGTTAAAATAAACTTTCGGTAAACTGATACCCAATACATGATCGGTTCAGATCATATTAAATTAATTATTAGATTTATATAAAGCTTTAGAATTAGCTTATAGAATTTGGAATACGCTAAATATTTTTTAAACGTTACATGAACGGTTCTAGCTTGAGCATTTCGTTGTAACGATCGAGAAATGTGCACACTTTCCAGTGGCCGCCAATAATATACAGACACTGGCCGGCGAACAGCAGAATGTCAGCCGATGGCCAGTCGGCCGACTCTATCTCCCGGTACACCACTAGCGCCGCCTCCTCTGCCCTCTCATTCTCGGCCACGAGTCTGTCCATCGACTCCGTCAACGATATACCCTCGATGTCCGCATACGTCACCACAACGTTATAGACGCCGTCCGGTCGCCCGCCGGCGTCCATCAGCTCCTTCTCGAGTGAGTACATGTCGTTGCATATAATGAACGCGCGTTTGAAGTGCGCGAACAGCGCCCGCATCGACGGCTGCGTCAACTCGGGCTCCGGTATGTATAGTGAGTCGGCGTATTCGATGAGATGCAGTCATGACATTATTCCGATCGATTTGCTCCTCACCTAAAACAACAAGTATATAGCGGTTACTCATCGGTCACTTATAGGTCACTCATAGGTCACTCATAAGTCACTCATAGGTCACTCATAGGATTATGATTAAACGATAGATAAAGGATTATTTCGGTAGTGTTTCCAGAAGCTCAAGGAATTCCTTGAGTATCAACGAATTGAGATCTATATACAGTGCGAAAGCCTTGTGGGAGTGGGTGTGGGAGATATTGCCTCGATATTGTGAGCGCACTGACAAAAATTGTGAGTTAAAAATGCAACGTAAGTACATTTATTGAAAAATACATAGAAAATTATTTTATTAAATTACACTAAGAAAAACTACATGATCAAAATAATTAAATCGAATGCAAAGTGTTAATAAACAAACAAACAGACCTCAATAAACTCATCCAGGTTACTGAACTTGTGTTTGTCATTCAAATGGACGCCCTCTTTGATCATACCGTCGATCCATTCCCTAAATACGTTCAAAAAGCGCCGCTTTTTCACCACATTTAACGCCCGATAGATCTCATCGTAGACGGCATACGCGGCCAGAATATATGGCTTCCAACCTATGGCCGACACGTGCCTCCCGGTGCCCATCAATTCAAGCTTATCGCACACGGCGTACAACTGGCCATAAATGGTGGCCGCTTTGCCCACATCGCGATTGATGTGGCCGTAAACGGTTTCATCATGGTCGTCGGCCACAAAATAGTGCATCATCATTTTAAGCAGGGCGTTGTATATGGTTTCATCTCGCGTGAATGGCCAGAAATAAGCGGCAAACACCAGACCACCCTCTATGCGCCTGAACTGAGCCTTGGTGAATTGGCTGGTGTCGAACACCCATGATAGAGCCTCTGTGACTATTGGCTTAAGCGCGTGCAGCGGATTGAGCTCAAAAGGCATTAAGGTTTTAAATCGCTCCGACACCGGGTATTTGCGTACGATCTCTGTGTCTGTGGTGTCGGTTACCGGGGCTGACGTGATCTGTGAATACATGTGATTGACACTACTTTTTAATGTTCATTAATTACCATTTTGGTGCTACCTTACTCACTTTTTTGTTTACAAGTTATTATTTTATTTTAATCACTTGAAGGCCAGATGTAAAATTAATTAAGAGTTTTATGTATTGAGTTATTACATAATACATAAATTGTTGAGTAGACTGTATTTTGCAAAAATACTCTTAACTTGTTTTAAAATGTATTACAGTACATATTGCTTTAAAGTTTAAACTGTAAAATAAAACATGTAAACTTTTGTATTACATTTTAAAAAAATTTGTAATGATTTTGATGTTTTATTTTACAATTTATTGTTTGAATTCATTAACTAAATAACCCATTCGTTAGAATCCCTCCTAAACTAATTATAAATCAATAAACATAAGTTTGCAAATGATTTTAAATAATTAATAAAATACATATATTTAAATCTAGTAACAAATTTATTCATCATTGAAATAATAGTTAATATTATTAATTAGTATCAATATTTAATTTACATTACAAAACATATCCAATAAATACATTATAAGTTAATTCGAATCGCTTTTTATAATTTACAGTATACAGTGAACTTTCCATATAGTGACTCTCTATACAGTGTATTTTCCATATAGTGTACAAAATATTTTAGTTTGGCGGACACTGTAT